GGGGGGGGGAAGGGCACACCCACTGTTAATACAAAATTGAATCCCCTTGGCCCAAGGATGCTCCAGACCAAATTTAGTTAAAATCCACCGAGCTTTCCAGGACTAGTAGCATTGGAAAGGAAAAGTTGACGGAGGTGCACCATGGCAAAAGCATGCCTTTCGAGCAGGTGAGCTAATAACCAAAAGACCTAGAGCAATGATAGTTGACAAGTAGGGTCTGGAACTGGGTCCTATAAAGTGTCCTCAAATAAACAAGGCAAAGTATTGCAAGGCAATCCATAGTCCCCCACCGCTAGTTATTTCTATATTTAACAAACAGTACACTTATGTCAGGATGTTGGGATAGAGTATTATAAAATTTCATTTAGTCTGGAACATTCTTCAGGCAAGGAGACTCAATATATGGAAATATTTGTAAAATAAGTTTCATTGAGAATATATTTCCATGATTGCTCAAATAATCAGCTGAGCATTACAGGCCCTCTGGGCATCTTAGTGTTTTTTTGATCTTTTCTTAAAGTGCACACAATATTTCATATCAGAAACTTGATTCCAATTAGTAATACATGACAACACTAAATCAAATTATATTATTTTTTATTTGTTCTCGATTCTATATTAGTGCGAGTATAAAAATGTAATATTCTAGTAAACAGTTCTTGAGTACATTTTTATATATATACCTGTATTAATAATAATTTCACTATTAGGCTATACCACGCTCTCACAGAATAAATCAGTGTGCAGGAAAACATGTGTTTGGTCTGTACAAGTACTGTGCTAATTTATGATAATTCTAACTGAAAACAGAATTTGTAAGAAGAGAAGTGAAGCAAGAATTTACGATAGAGATAGAGAGGCATGTACTTTTGTTAAGCCTTTGAGTGAGGAATCAGTCAGAAATAGTGCAGGCGGAAACTCGGAAAAACTATTCCCATAACAACATGCCTGGGGAAAAACTATTCCCACAACAACATGCCTGAGGAAAAACTATTCCCACAACAACATGCCTGGGGAAAAACTATTCCCACAACAACATGCCTGAGGAAAAACTGTTCCACATTTCGTACAGCCAAAACCTGAAACAACCATACCGAGGACGTTGTATCCGCTCAAAATATCAATACTTTTGAGAACAGAATGACTTTGGCAGAATGAAGAACTTTATTATAATTATATGATAAATTTAAATAACTATGAACTTTAACTTTATATTATACAATTGTTTAATTTGTGAGTCGAGTGTAGAGGAGTACTATCAGCTCCTGTATTGGAAACTAACTTTAACTTTACTTTAACTAACTTTAAGAAATGTCCTGGGTCCTATAAATACTGTAAATACGCAATTCGGCGCGCGCATGTGCTTGACAACGAATAATTTTTGACTTAAGTTCAGTCTCAGCTAAGATTTTGCTTAGCACGTTTCATGATCCACTTAAGATTTTGGTCTTAGCTAAGTCAAAACTTCAAACTTAAGTTCAAATTTTGTCTTAGACTTAAGTCCGTTTCATGATCCCGGACCCTGGTCTACAAAGTAAGAAATGTATGGCAGTGTAATAGAACTTGTCTTAAGGATGTCTGTACAACTGCTGAAACAGTAGCTGTGGAACAGAACTTCGGACCTGGTGGGCTCAAATCTACAGTGGATACTGTAGTGTTTTGCCTTCAGGGGGAGAGGTATATCTTGAAATCACAACCAGTGATGCAGTATATATATTGTATATTCAAAACTTAATACATGTATAACTAATTTAATATACCATCTATAGCTATAAACTTCCTCATATTGTAACCTCTGTAGCATCATTTTACCTTAATGTCAGGAGTTGACTTGCATCATAATAATAATAATAATAATAATAATAATTTGAGGTTCTTATATACCGCTTTATCACAAATTATTATCCGTGGTTATAGGGCCTTTGCAACCAGCCAATATCATTCTCAACTCCCTGGGGAGCATACAGCCGGAGCTGCCATTTTGGCACTCATAGCTAGCATTCAACAATTCTAGCACTGCCCAACCATGTACTCATACAGCTGAGTAGCCTGGAACAAGCGGAGTAAAGTGTCTTGCTCAAAGAAACAACACAGTGTCCTGACTCGAACCCGCAACCCTTCGGTCACGAGCCCGGCGTCCCACCACCAGACTACCAAGCCTCCTGATATGATATATGATATGGTAATAGGCATCAAAAGCACATCACATGCAGCATGACACAATAGAATAATCAAATAACAAATCAATACATCACCTATATTGGACTTCACTAAACACAAAACTTAATTACTAAAGTATAACATACATTGTATACTTCTATATGGCCCGATTCATCTCGGAATATTTCAGATTCAGTTCCTCAAATGCCATGAATTTGTTACGCTTTTTGCAGGGGTTGAAAATAACTATTTTAGCCACTAGGAAAAATAGCAAGTGGCTAAAAACTTCATTCGCTAAATCAGAAACTCATTTGCAAAACTTAACATTCTTTTCATCATTCATCAATATAATATGAATTTTAATCTGAAAAATGAGGCTAAGATCGTCACATTGAAGTTAATCTGAAAAATGAGGCTAAGATCGTCACATTGAAGGAAAAACAATCAAATGATGTCTAGGACTTTTTTAATGACATCTTTCAGACAACAGGCCACTGGACGACAGATTCTACTGTAGATAGTTCTAGCTATGTGATTGGACGACGGATTCTACTGAATATGGTTCTAGCTATGTGATTGGACGACAGATTCTACTGAATATGGTTCTAGCTATGTGATTGGACGACAGATTCTACTGTAGATGGTTCTAGCTATGTGATTGGACGGCAGATCCTACTGTAGATGGTTCTAGCTATGTGATCGGACGACAGATCCTACTGTAGATGGTTCTAGCTATGTGATTGGACGACAGATTCTACTGTAGATGGTTCTAGCTTTGTGGTTGGACGACAGATTCTACTGTAGATGGTTCTAGCTTTGTTATTGGACGACAGATTTGACTGTAGATGGTTCTAGCTTTGTGATTGGCCGACAGATTCTACTGTAGATGGTTCTAGCTTTGTGGTTGGACGACAGATTCTACTGTAGATGGTTCTAGCTTTGTTATTGGACGACAGATTTGACTGTAGATGGTTCTAGCTTTGTGATTGGCCGACAGATTCTACTGTAGATGGTTCTAGCTATGTGATTGGACGACTCATTCTTCTGTAGATGGTTCTAGCTATGTGATTGGACGACCGATTCTTCTGTAGATGGACGGATCAATAGTGATTCAAGGCGTGCAGTATGTGGTTGATTTGTTAGATGTATTTAGCACCAGATAAATACAGGGTATATTAACATACAACCTGTGGATGAAATAATGAACACTTCTAACCTAGTTTTCTATATAACTAACCTGGTATAAAACACCTACATTTATAACAACTATTGGTATTCTTTGTTACATACAATCAAAACTTGTAAGTCAGAACACTTTGATTCCAGAAAACATGTTCAGAATTTATCTAATGATGGCCCCGGTTTGTCGTGTTAGACTACTGAAATCATATTCTAATGATTTTCATTGTGATTTTTATCTTTTATCACAAAAAAAAAGGTTAATCGTTTGGGGTAGAGACGGGTGCCTTGGGAGACACCAGGAAGAAAGCAAGAGTGGGGAAAGTAATTTCTCTTACCCTGGACAGGGATATCCACCATTTTACCTGTGTGAGATTTACTTATCTCACCCTAGGGTTGAGACAAGCTACACATGTTCTTTGCACGTTCTCAACAATTGTATGATGTCATAGCAACAATACCATGACGTCATGGCAACAATACAATGACGTCATGTCGACAATTCAGCTGCATCACATCAACATTGTCTTGCATTGATGTAACGTCTGCATAAAATACATAAGAGGGTAAACCGGGTAAGAGAAAAATAATCATTCACCCCATTGGGAGTGAGACAGGGTGATCTCAACCCTCGGGGTAAGATTCTTAAGCTGTCAAACCCTCGGCAAGCCTCGTGTTTGACAACTTAAGAATCTTACCCCTCGGGTTGAGATTACCCCGTCTCAACCCCAAGGGGGTGAAAGATTCTATTAATCCAAAGTGTTTCAATAGGGGCAGCAAACTGGTTTTAGTTTCTTCACTGTCCTCTAAGCAGACACAGATAAAACAATCCTGTACTGGCCCATATAAGTTGCAATAAAATTGTAGTGGGTGGAATTGTTGTTCAAAATAATCAAACTCTGTTTTCTGACATCACAATCATCGGAGAGTTTTGTATTCGGTCAGTGTTACAGAGTATTGAATTTATCATGTCAACTCTTTACATGCATGTTCCAATGGGATAACAGGAATCTAAATGAGTGAGAGGTTAATAAATTAAAGAAAGATGTAAAATATAATACTAGGATACGTTTAAATGGATTAGAAACACACTTCACTAGTAGAAATAAAAATAAAATTGAATATAATTGGAGTAAAAAAATTAAAGGATATGAAAATGTTCATATTAATATATATGTCTTGAAATATCAATCTGATTAATTTCTAAAACAATAAATACACAGACATTATAATATCTACCAGTTCCTATGAAGATTTAAAAAAATCAGTTAATCTACCTAGCTACAAAATGCAATCAGACATGGAGAGTGTTGTGTTTTTTTGAAATTTAAACCAAGTTTTAATCACACATTAGTCAGACAGAGTTTTTTTTTCATTTTAGGTTAAGTTGAATAAAAAAATGAAAAAGAAAAATATCTGGTACAAATACATACATATATATAGTCAGTGCTTTGACTCAAGGCTATATTAAAACAGTTAAAACTTGACCAAGAAAAGAATTTCACGCAAGCCATGAATTGAACAAAACCAGTCATGTTGGCGAGGCAAAAAAAATGGGTAGAGTCAATTAAGACCAGAAACAATGCTTGTTAAGGATTTATAATGGTGAAAACATTTTTTCAAATGTTCAGAAATATCAATTTATTGCTTCCAATTGCAATATTGCAATGTTAAAATGATTTGACACAATGTACAAATATTACAATCTTTAACAGAATAACACTTTCCTATACAGGTGAACACTTAAATCGAGATTTCCCCGTTCAGGAAGTACATGGTCATTTTTGTTTAGAACTTCTTGGGAATGCCCTGGATATACTGACATGGATATAAAGTTGAGATACATATGCATGTTATCACTAGGAACAGTCTTAACATTTCATGATGTAAATAGGAAAACAAAGTCTACATTGTCTACTTTTGTTACCTTAAATCTCAACAATTTTTATCACAAAAACCAATCTTATAAAATTAACTGAAAACTGGCCGTAACATTTCTTGTCAAGTAAACCTTGCAAGACCCAAACCCAATTGTTCAGACCCTGAAGTTTGCAGGAAACCGTGAACAACCTTGACATTGAATATTTATACAAGTCTTCTTTTTTGAGATATGAAATGATACACAATATTCTATTGATTTATTGTGAGATGTGTAATACACTTCTCACAATATAACATTGTTAGTGTCTTATTGTGAGATATGTATTACACTTCTCACAATATAACATCGTTAGTGTCTTAGTGTGAGATATGTATTACACTTCTCACATTATAACATCGTTAGTGTCTTAGTGTGAGATATGTATTAAACTTCTCACAATATAACATCGTTAGTGTCTTAGCATGAGATATGTATTACACTTCTCACAATATAACATCGTTAGTGTCTTAGTGTGAGATATGTATTACACTTCTCACAATATAACATCATTAGTGTCTTAGTGTGAGATATGTATCACACTTCTCACAATATGGTACCATTAGTGTGTTAGTGTGAGATATGTATTACACTTCTCACAATATGATACCATTAGTGTGAGATATGTATTACATTTCTCACAATATGATACCATTAGTGTGAGATATGTATTACACTTCTCACTAAAAAAAAATGTCACCCTGGTACAATATACGAGCTGCTTCCTACAGACTCAGCCAGGGAGTATTTCTCTTTAGCTCATTGGGTAGAGCACAAGACTAATAAACCAGAGGTCCCTGGTTCAACTCCCCATGGAGGCAATGAAAAAATAATGACCTCTATTACAAAATAATAATAAGTTTTGCATGAGAAAACTAATATTAATCTATATATACCTCATTAAAATCAACTATCAATGAAATACATGAATTAAACATGCTAGCAACAAGTGAATAAATAAAAAATAGAGATGTACATGATTTCTTATTACATTAATGTTGCACCAATGGTAGTATGTGTAAAATTTCTAACAATGTCGCAGGTGACCTAAAAATCCTGACCACCAAGAGTGTACTGTGATGTCACTTCTACTAGGGAAAAAATATTTAAAAATATGTCTTTTGATATTAATTATTTGTTCCCTCAAAATGGCAAATAAAACCATTACTAGCATACACCCGACCATTTTATCATCTTTGTAATAACAGCAAAAGTGATTTTCTACAATTTATTATACAATTGCATGTACCAGTGTGAGAAATATGTGTTTTGTGCAGATGTATGGCAGCTTTGGCTCATCACAACATTTATCCCTTTTTCTATACATAACATTATCGCTGTATGACTATTGAACAATAAGGTTTCCTTGATACATACATATATAATTACTAAAAAAAAAAAAAAAACTTAAATTTGTTTTACTGGCTATTTTACTTTAACCCTTTCACCCCTGTAGACCATAATGGGCCCTTCCATATCAATGCATGGTAGAGTCTACTAAAGTAACATAGGGGTGAAAGGGTTAAGAGAACTAATTTCAAATTTTGTTGGTCAGTTGGATTTTCTACTTTATTAGAAAATGGCACAAAAACTGAGGCCATCCTAAAATTTAAATTTTCTGATCATCTATATAATTACAAATTAATTAGAAAATATATTACTTTCAACTATTTAAGACAAAGATCTTTTTTGTTTCTATTTGATGACAGTTTAACTCCCAACATTCACCATCTCTAAATACATCAATAAAGTAGGTAGAGACACATTTATCAAACATATAAAGAATCACAGTCTGCCCACATTTTAGTACATGTCAGACCCATGCTGATTTAATATTGAGAATGCCTACAAATCTCTCTCTAGATCTAAAGGTCTGCAATAAGTGAGAATTTTCAGTCAAATCTACAACTTAAAAACTTTCGTCCTCTGACGCATCGTCCCATTCACATGATTCTACAGCGTCATCAAAGCTCACTTCCTTGTCATACTCAAATCCCTGGTCTCCTGGTTTTACACGATTCTTCTCAAACGTACCCTCCATAACGGCCTTCTTTCGTGTAAGTGTTTCAGGGTCAACCTTATTCAAGTCTTCTTCAGGATCTAATTTATCAAGCTCAGCATTACGAGCGAGGCTAGCTTCAAGACTCATTCCCTTCATTTTATCACTGATGATGGTAATGAGACGCTCCAGCTGGCTTTTTGGGAGACAATGGACATACTTTGAGTGGCGGGGATTCTTTAACAGTTCTTCAGCTGCCCTGTCAATGTCCGAGTTCTTAGTGAAATTTCTCAGTGGCATGGATCTCCGTCGAAGTTTACCATCTTTTTCGTAGCTGACAACAATGCAGGGTGGGTCAAACTTAACTCCACACTTCTTCACTTCGATTCCATTCTCCATTTTTTTCTTCAAAAGATAACAAGACTGCATTAAGCAAGACTCAGCATAAACATTTCTGTATACAAAAACCAGCATTTGACTGTTAGACATACTTTTCAATAGCAGCAATGGAATATATAGCTTGATACAAAGTTTACCGTATTAAATAAATTATATAATCTACTACCCGAGGCCCCAGGGCCATGTGTCGCTAACCCGGTAATGTTGGTAGTCAAGTTTAAATCTGGCTTATAGTTTGGAGGAAAGCCTCAGTAATGTAAGCAACTTTACTTGTACTGTATAATTTTATTTCAAACCAGCCCAGTATCCTTCAAAGAGGCGATATTTAAAGCAAATCTTCCAATTCTAACACTTTTGATCCCATTTTCCAGTCCTCGGGACGGTTTGCCCCTTATAGCTTTTGATCCGGATGGTCCAAGGATGCTACTGCTATCATCTGGTAAAAATCCTATTTCATTTTATAATAAATTAGTCAATCTGAAACCTTTTTGTGCCTCGACCCTCAGCTCCCTGGAGGGTCAGCCTCTTTACATGTAAAGCAATTAGCTCTGAGAGGCTGATGTAATTGTTTTAACACCCAGTTAGGGTTTTGACCATTTGCAGAACAAATTCATGCAATTTCTTCCAGGTATGTTATCAGATAAACATGTATGAATGTTTGTAGAATTGATGAAAATATTATTTTCTTTTGAATTATTAAAGTAAAATTTCTTAATCTTATTCTTTTAACTCAGAAAGCCGACTTTAGTTACCCCTACCCCCCTATTCATTAATGAAAAAATACTCATTTTTTTACCATTTTTTGCAGATTAAACGCTTGATATAAAAAGTTCTGCTATTAAACTTTTTTTTAATATTCAATGATTTAAAAGAAAATGTGTCTCTCTTTCTAAACATCCACAAAAAACGTCCGTGTGCTTCTTTTTTTGTCCCATTATCATAAATTGTGTTATTTTTTACCTTTTTCGGGGTCAAAAATCAATAATGTATAATTTTCCAGTTTGTTGCATATTACTTTTATCATATTAAACATTATAAAATTGTACAGCAAAATTGAACCTGCTACAATTAAAAATGGTGACGATATAATTGAAAGCAAATCTGTCAACCTGACCTCACCCCAGGAGGGTCATACCCTTTATTTTGAAAACTTTTGATTCCCGTGGACTTAGGATGGACACCTAGTTAGCTACAGATGCTTGTGAACACCAAAGTGTGGACGGACGAATGCTCCCCAAACCATAATACATCATGTTAATTTTTTTTGACAGGCATATAAAAAGTAAATCTGAAATCATGTACCTGCTCCACACTTAAAATCTAGGTTATTTAATGGTAAAAAAGATCAGACAATATATATGTCTATGATATGTGCCTGAGTTTGCACTTTGTTTTCTTATACTGGTCCAATTATATTCTGAAATACATAATTGAATAAATTACTTGTAAGCTAGTGAATAAATTACTGGCAAGCTAGCTTTTCCATTGATGCAGTTTGTAACCATGGGATGCCATCACTAGTTCAGCTAGGTCAAGCTTGGTCAGTGGCTGGATAAGTGACTGACCATACATTACACTAGCACCGCTTTTGCCATTGGTCAAATGGAAAGCTGAGCCAGCTCTTGCCCAATGACATTGGTCAAATGGAGAGTCAGTCTGAATTGTTCTTCTGAAGCAGAACTGGACTCGATCAATCGTCGCTAAACAATTAGCTCAATTAGTAGAGCATCCGTCTAAGAGTTTGGGCGGTCCAGGGTTCGAATCTTGCCAGGCCATGTATTTTCTCTTAGGGAGTTAGTGGATAGCCCCTGCTTGAACGATGACAAGTCAAGGCCCTCAACCATAGGGGGTACCAACACAATGTTGAAGGTTTAAACATGGCGTCATACTTTTGACAAGCGTCGTATTATCATATCCGATTTAAAATAGCCGACCAACGGCTTCATTGTTATAGGAGTACAAAAGATACCTAAGGGGAGAGAATTCCAATGGGGGATGATTGACGGAAAGTTTATCGGTACAACTTATAGCAACTGTTGACGCATATTTGTTGGAGTTAATTGCATATGATCTTGGTCACATCTGTGTCAACCTTAATTGTATTTAGAATTCCGTATTTAAGTTGACACAGATTGATAACGATCAAACTACACCGATACAAACTATTTCCCCATTAACCCAAACAAGTGCCCAAAATAAAAGTTACCTTCTTATTCTCTCTAAATTTTCAGTATCATCACCGGTATGTTCCTGCCATTTATCTGAAATGCAGGACCACGGTTGAAAGCGAAATGTCTTCTTCTACAATTCAACATAGCCTACAAACTCGAAAGTGTCCTCCATATTGAAACAAATGTTATGAGCATGCGTAGTGGATATAAAAAAAAAATCAGTAAAAAGTAGGTGATAACAAATTAAATAACGCACTATTTGTCATGTGATTTTGCTACTTTTTCTCCAAAATTTGTATGATATAAATATTCAATTATATTTGTAACCTAAAATAGTAATCAATATATGTTATATTGTGTTAATTAAACTAATAATGTTTCTTTTAATTACTACTTTTTTCTTCTACAGACATGCGCAATCGTCACCCGCCATTTCAACATGGAGGTCATGTAGAATTAAGCGGACGCAGCGGATGAAAAATCATCAAAATTCACATCTAATAGAGTCTTTTATAGTAGACGAACGGGTAATTATACAAGAACTGACCACTTATGATGATATGCTATAATCATATTTGTGTTGTCAACCCGAAATATTGCAAAATCATCTGGAAAAGTATCTGTAAACAAGATGTCGGCCGGCGGTGCGGCGAGGCCTAATGAAAAAAACACCTTTTTACGCTCGGTATCTGATGTTAATTTCCAAAATATCTTAAGAGGATGAGGCAAAGGCATTAAAGATGTAAACCTTTCAAATTGTCAGAATGAATATGTTATTTTGCAGTTAAATGAATATCAATGCTTTGTTCCAAAGAAGGCAAACTAGCCACAGGTGCTCGGGTTCTGGAGTAGGCTATATGTGATATATATTGTCGCACCCACTAGATATATCGCACCCCCTTATACTAATAAATCATATATTAGTATAAGTGGGTGCGACAATATATCACATACATTCCAGAACCCGAGCACCTGTGAAACTAGCCTGTGTAAAAAGTTAAAATTTATATTTTCCTGAATGATAATGACCAAGCTCTGATTTAGTGTCAGAATAATGCTTAATTATGCTCAATATTAGTAATAACGAGATGAATCATTTCGACACGTTTATTTTACTAGAATAGGATACAATGCAACACCAGGGACGTTAATCGTGCTCCAGTGGATTGGACGAGTATGACCATAGTTCATTCGGATCGTGATTTGATATGTTTCAAGGCCTGCATTATGCTGTAAACGTTTGCAGGTCCATCAGGTTTTAACCCTGAAATATTACATTAAAATACAAGCCCATCAGGGTGCATAAACAAACAGGCGTCTCTTAAGATGACAGCTCTATTAGTATTACTGTCCTGTAGAAAAACTGCCTACAACTCGCTTGTTAGATCAATTATGTATTAAAGAGCTGTCATCTTCGACCTTAGTACTAATACCTGGCTGGGTATTAGATTGATCCCATTTCTTGTAATGGAGCAAGCTCAATGTGAATCACACCGGGGCAATTTTAGCATTAATTGACATGAATACACTGGTTTGTTACATAAACCACTTGAAGTTTAACTTTGCCTAAAATATTGTGATCAAGTTTACATATCGAGGGCAATCGAAATCTGAATTGACCAACATGCTGGAAACTTTGGCTCTCTTCCGATATAGGTCAGACATTTATATATATGGGTGTCATGGCCCAATACTGATTCTTTTGAGGTTAGTTATTGACTGGAACCACCTGGATGATGAAGTTACGTGTCAAAGAATCCCTTGACAAACATTGCTGTGGCGCAAATAAAAAAATTATGAATTATGTTAAATCAAATGTAATTAGCACCAGCTGGTTCTTGAGAAAAATTGAAACAATTGCACTGTGTACGTCATGAATACAATACGAAGTGGAGAACAATTTTTTTTCTCTCGTTTTGTGCCAAAAATAGGGTGTGTGATTTTTTTTAAACCACATGCCCAATTAAATGATAAATAGATGTTTTCTAAACTAATATTAATTTTCATGAAATATTGTAAAATAAAATGAAATAATATACATGATATAGAAATACTTGGAATATCATTTCAGAAAAAATGTGGCCAATGTTACTGGACATGTCACGAGATGAATGCAAACGTGTCCTGAGACGCCTTGAGTTGGAAGCATACTCCTCTCTTGTGTCAGTATTCAGGGCGCAGGGGGATCTCAACAAAGAAAAGAAAAGGATACTGCAAGACCTGCAGCAAAACCTCAGGTTTGTACACTGAAAAATCAGGCTCGCTGTTCAGTTATCTACAGATTTAATTTGAAATACTACTAAATGCAGCAATAATTCACAAATCATAATTAAAAGTTTTAATGAGCTTAGAGATTTATTTGTTTCTGCTCTAAAACTGTTTTCACAGCATATCGACCGAGAGGCATCGTGCTGAAGTGAGAAGAGCAATCAATGATGAGAAGCTGTCAACGATTGCTGACAGGTAAATATTTTTTAATTACATTATACTCGGTGTTGTAGTCATTAAGTAGTAAACATAGGTTATATGGAGTAGATATCTGTACTTTAACAGTGCTAATTTAAATATGGCAGAAAACTGCAGGGCACCAAAATGTTGGTACAAACCTAAACCAGTTTTATTTGGGGAATGATATATTTTTTTTTGCTATTTTCTCTTAGTATGGCTGGCCCTAATACAGAGTCTGAGTGGCTCATTGAGGGGCGTCGACTGATTCCCCTGATGCCAAGGCTTGTACCACAGACTGCATTTACTGTCACAGCCAATCATGCTGCTAACATACAGGCAGAGAAAAACGCCAGCATGCCCAGCCCATCACACACTGGAAACAAAGATGGTGAGTTCACGGCTGCCTACAAACCGATCCTGGCACCACAAATCCAATCCCAATATTCAAGCAGTAGTTAAGGGGACTGATCACTCTTTTCTATTAAAAAACCCATCCAGTCACGTTTAACAATAACAAGGTGGCTGCATGAACAAGGCTTCTCTGCTCTTATTTTATAATGTAAATTTTCATAAGAGCAGTACATGTTGGCATTACATTTTCCAAGTTTTCTCATTCCTTGGGTTTGAAAACATAGATACGGTTAAATGCAAAAATGTTTAATTTCCTTTTAGGAGTACTAGCTAACAGGCATTTTTTGAAAAATTAGTCCAGTCTATATTTTCATACAATAAGGATTATAATTTTCTACTAACCCTGACAAAAAATCCACTAGTCGCAGGCATTTAGCTAGTGACACTATACAACCACGAAATGCACAAGTTTTGCTTTCATTCATAACTTGGGATTTGATTCACATGTTACACAATTATTTATGTGTAAAGAAGGTATATCACTTGTTTTAATATTCATTCTGTTTTAAGTTTGTTTGAAATTGTACAATCACAGTAATTAGGTGAAAACAGTGTGGTCATTTTCCAGTTTCTGGTTTAATATATATTATATATCACCTGTTTGCTTCAGTGAACACTGTGACCAGCCCTACCACCCCAGTAGGGTGTGGTATCAGCAAAGTGTCGCGTCCCACCAGTCCCAGCTCCAACGTGGTGGTCCTTCCTAGTGGTATGTCCATACACATCAAAGGTAAGCCACTCTGTTCAGGTAGGAGACGCAAATTATCACACTGATACAATCTTTAAAGTTTCTGACTCGCTGCTACAGAAAGGCTTTGCTAATATGACTTGCCAAGTTTTCCTGACTACAGGTTACAGAGGCAATCTATCAATGTTTTCAAAGGTGTAGAGATTTCAACAGATATATAACATACACAGTTAGAAAGATGAATTCTTAATCTAAAACTGTGCTGTGACAATCCAAAACAGCTTTATCAGAACTAAACTCGTGATTTCTATAGCTACTTGTAAAAATGAAAGGTGTCTCAAGGAACCATATTTGTGTAGGTTTAAAATTGTTCAGGATGATCATTTAAAACATCGGTATAACCCTTGAAAGATGTTGCCCCAGGCTGATTATGGAGATATCTTATATTCCAGGAGGACTAAATACTGAAGAAGATGAAGAACCAATTAGTCGTAAGAGGCGACGTAGTCAGTCCACTGAAACAATAGTATCTCCGTCAGCATCCACCCAAACCCCACGAGTCACGTATACCACAACAGCCGCAAGTTCCGTGTCAGGAATGTCGCCCATGAAAATCACCATCAGCAAAAGTCCTCAGGGGCGGTCCCAAGTATCTTCCAATATCACACAGTCACAAAAGGTACTTGTAAATTTGTGTGACAGAAAAATTCAGAAGTAATAAGTTTTTCAATATTAAATAAAGTTGTGTTTCAGAATGTAGATGATTTGTTGCAGTAGTTCAGTGTAAATTTTTCCTGTTTGTGATTAGGTCATCCTAGTGTCGAGTTCCAACCAGTCATCCTCCCCGAGCGTGCTTCAGAAGTCAATCACAGTCCCAGTGGTCAAAACCGTCGGTTCACTAGCGGGCAGTAGTGGTCATAACAAGTCCTCCATCATACTCCCCAACACATCGGTCAACTCGTCCAACGGCAACCTGGGCAACATTGTTACTGTAGCAACACCCACCATGTCTACAGCAACTTCAACATGTAAGTTTCAAAGTGATTAAAATTCAACTTGAATTTGTTTCTAAATCTTATTTAGTTTCAGTGAATAGTGATTTTACTAGTCATCCAAGTTAAACAAAAACAACAACATTAAACAATATTTATAATTGGAAAGGTGAGTGGTTTGCAGTTTCAGAGTTTATTCTTAAAGGTGAGTGTTAAGTTTCAGAGTTTATTCATCAAAGTTCTTCACCTAGCCTGAAGAATATTACCTTGCAGCTACAGCAGGTTCCTCAATCATCAAAGACCGATAATGCCAAACAGACATGTTATTGTGTTTCCTGTTTTTGCTCAGAAAAACAAACAAAATTAGTAGGATGACATTTCATTTTCTCACATGTTTGTTATGTATCGTGCGATGTAATAATTGTCCTAGACTTTCTCACGTGAAGAGACCATAACTGAAGTTGGAAGAGAATTTTTTTTCAGTGAATAAACCGTTTTGAATTTAGTGGTAAAATGTGGTTGGATTGGAAACACAAGCAGAAATATTGCAGTTAAGCTAGGATAATGAATCTTGGTGTGTACATCAGTCACACTAAGGTGATGTGCACTGTACCGTAATCTGGGTCTGCAGCCCCTTAATAATAGAGTTATTGCCCTTTGCTAAAATATCAGACACATATATACGTATGTTAAACATTTTTTTTCTTTCTTCCAAACTCCCCATTTCAGCCTATTTTTACCGTTATGTGTCATCAATCTAACCAAATGCAAAATTCACAAAGTTCCACTGATACTCTTGTCTACAATTTAAGTGTATCTGTACACCATTCACAAACAAGATGTAAGATTGATTACTATTGTTTTATAGGTACCACACCTACTGTAGTGACAACATCCACCATGACATTTCTAACTCCAGCGGTCAGCGTTCCAAAACCCCGACTCAAGACCACCATTCCCAGGCAAAGATTCACAACGGTACTTGCAGATTCACTTTGTTAACAAAAATGAAACTTCATAGGAATAAAAATAATTTCAATCTTTAAAAACATTGAAAGGTTGCAATCAGCTGTTTATGTAGATAAGTGTCAGACATGAATTAAGTATTGGATACGTCAAGTCAACGGAGATGTGTTTGTCTGTGTACATTTCACAAACTCAAATCCTTACTAATAATGTTAGAAGCAGGGTAGAACATTTTTTCACTAAAATTATATAATTCGCACTATCAGTCATTTTGTTTTCATTCTTGGTTGTCTAGTTTACACAAGCAGGCCAGCCCAAACCTGGTGTAGTGATCCCCATGGGTCCCCAGCCTGTCCAGCCATGTCCACAGAATATTCAGATCAAACCTGTTACCAAGGCCTCTGCAATACAGATACGCCAGGAGGGAGGTAAGCTTTCCATCATACTGCCCTGTTACCTGTCACTACTAGTCGCTACCTTTACTGGACAGATAGGCCAGGAGAGAGTTAAGATTTTATCAGGAGAGATAAGATGGCAAGTTATATTGTATCTAGCTAAGGGTACCTATTTCAGTATGATAAAAATATATTTGCTCTTGTTAAACATGATTAATTTCAGGGAAACCGAGAGGGAGACATCCATATTTAAAAAAAAGACCTGTTCAAAATTGATGAATAGCAAGTCACTATCGTGAAAATTGTAGTAGATAAAGAGTTAAGGCTGTAGGGCTTCTTGTTAAGTAACAACCACAGCCAGTATTTGAACTCTAAAATATTGCTTTATATTCTTATATCATTAGTTTGATAACAGTGTCCTGATCTGTTCATGTTTCACCCGACGTAGGTATGAAGATCATTACCCAGAGTTTACCAGGGGGCGGCACTAGTAAAATCCTCCCCAAGCCTACCCAACTATCAAACAGCAGTGGCACACCTGTGGTCGTGGTGAGTGCCGGCTCATCTGCTGCCACCTCCAGTGTTACCATGGTTACCAGACCTGTTACATCTATAGGTACGTAGACTCTATCAGTGGTGCTGGGTGGTAGTCTGTACACAGATCAGTACCACATTGAGGATGAGAATGCAAAAGGGTAACATTAAACAAGTTTGTGACATTTACACCTCAAAGAAAGAACCTCTTATTAGTTATTTTACTGTTAGGTTATATAAAACATTTCTTTACACTGAATTTATTCAGACAAAAAGAAGATGACATTTGAAGTAGGAGAATTATATAATTTTTAAAAAAAATGTGGTTTTATCAGATCAGTTATCAGGATTTTTCAAAATTCTTTTCTATTCCATGGTTCGCATGGGTCTTGAAAAGCCCTTGAAGTTTGAGGTCAAAAGTTTGTATGAACCATGTATTCATTATTGAAGGCTGAGTAGATTGACAGAATATGTGATGTCCTCTCCTTAGCATTTAATCCTTCATGTAGCAAGAGTGCAACTGTCTTTTGATATTCTCCCAAAACAGGTACAGAAAAAGTTATCCTTGACGTCTATGATTCACAAAACTTTTGAACATGAAATATGACTGAGAAAAAACAATATGTTGCAGTGATGTCTGATGACTAAGGTGGCTGTTTTTGACCATGTATGTTCTTTATGACTTCAGGCCAGTCTGGTACAAAAATACTCAACATAACACAGGGAGGGAAAGTGATATCTGGCGTGAATCGTTCTGGCAATGTGGTCACTGTCAGTCCGAAAACATTACATCTGACAGCAGTCAAGTCTCAATCCGGAGGCTCAGGTAATACACGGTCCAATCAGTCTAGTGCCAAATACTGAATCTCAATTTGAGGTCTATAATAATAGATGATAATGGACAATAGATTTTTGTACTCTTAATGTTTTAAAAATTGTGAAATCAGGGTTGTTTTTATGCTTGCTTGAAAAGGCACAGAAGTGATTCATTGTTTACTGTAATAAAATAAAGTGAAACCTGTCTAATTTGACACATTTTTGGGACACAAGATATTGTCAGTTTAGACAAGATGTCAGAATACACAGGTATTGTCTGGTGGGTTTCATTCAAAATGTAATAACATCGTTGGATTATACACTTTAGCGGGTATTCTCAGGCTTAGACAGATTTTACTTGTAAATATAGTAATGAGATATTGACTTGCAATGATATCGATTGTGTAAAAAGCTCTTTTTTTCCTCCTTCCCATTCGTATCAATATAATATTTAATTGCTAAGGAATGCAACCTTTCTCACCCTTGATTCTGGTCGTTATGTGAACACTTCATGTTGATGGTTGGTTCCAGGTAAACCTAATGTGATCGTCGTACAGAAGACACAGCCAAAGAAATCTCAGGGTGGACTGAGTGGTACCTCCAAAACCATCATCTCTAGTCCATTTGAAAAGGTGAGTTAGCAGCATCCTTCCTCCGTATATATATAAGTGCGAAGTTTGGCCTTATTCTGTAGGTTATGTTGACCTATTTCATTAATTTAATAAAAAAAGCATATATTTAATATAATCATGTATCAACAGAACGCATACCAACTTTGCCTTATAAATATATAGACATCACATGTAAGACTTGACAGACATCTTCATTGTGTCTAGTCACTCTGATTTACCGCCGAGCTTTCCAAAATGAAATTTCAAAACTACCCAGGAAAGACAATCTACCATCATATCAGGACAGAAAACTGCATCAACTTTTGTAGTGAAAACTGTTGAGATAAAAATGTAATACCAGACTGGAAAGGATCTTAAATAATAGGATAGATATTGTCATACATTTTAGACATTCATGTTTGAAAATGATAAACTATTTCTAGGTGAGCTATATACCTGGTAAGTTGTAAATGTAAGAAAATGCTATAAATTGATCAAACTATTAATTAATGTTCCAGGAACTAGTGAGCTTCCTACAGAAGCAGGACTCCACCAAACACATTGTAGTGACCACACCCGGCAGCCAAAGGACCGAGAGGAAGGTCATAGTGACCACACCTGGTCAGCTGGAGGCGGTCACTCGCCAGGTAAGTTGGTAAAAAAGTAACCATATCATGTCAACAAATAATTTAAAGCGGCCCACGTGATGTTCGGGAAGGCATTTTCAAATCCTTGCCAAAACAGAAGTAGATTTTGGAATCCAGATTCTGCTTCAAACTTTATCAAAGGATGTAAAGTGTACAGTAGTTTACTTGGAAATATTCTCGGCAGTTTCAGAGGTGTTTTTTTTAGCCCTTAGCAATGTGAGGAAGAATTTATCACAACAGCACTTGTTAGTACATAGCATACATACCAAGTACAGTAATATTTGACACTGGGCGAATATAGATATTTGACTGGGATAATGTTTCCCAGTATACAGTAATTGATTAAAGTAATATCTTTAATAGATAAGTTGTATTGATATCCTAAATTCTTTCATATCCTCAGAGGGCGAGATCAGAATCAGAAGGAAAGACGACATCCCTGCTTGCAGATCTCATTCATGCTGCTGGTATTGTTCCTGACAGCACGTCGGAGGCTGGAGGGGATGTCACAATTAATCTGGACGAGGCAGCAATGGCTGCTCTATCAGTCAGCTCACAGGACAGCGATACATCTACTCAAAGTTAGGGTCATTGACCAACACTAGGGTCAATAATTCTTCTCAAATGTCTGTTCTGCCTGTAAGCTCACAGGACAGCGATACATCTACTCAAAGTTAGGGTCGTTGACCAACACTAGGGTCAATAATTCTTCTCAAATGTCTGTTCTGTCTGTCAGCTCACAGGACAGCGATACATCTACTCAAAGTAAGGGTCATTGATCAAAACTTGAGGGTCAGTGAAACCTCAGGACTCAAATAATGATTGATCACCTCCATTCTATGGTGGAATATCCACTTTCTTCAGATTCTTTATTCTTCATATTGAAAATAACAACATGAATAATTTTCTGTATTCTGTAGAAAGCTGTATGTAACTGATGCTAGTCACTGGTTTGATATTAATGGGTAACATTTAGTTACATGTGAATTGGAAAAATGTTACAATACTTTTTTGCATCAACAGGTACAACATCTCAAGCCTTACCTAATAACGAGTGGTTCGAGTATGATGTCACAGACGAGACCAGCCAGAACTACCAGACTTCGGGAATGGAGTCAGGAGTTGACATACAGACCTCGGGGTCAACTCAGGCAAAACCAAAGGTCACAGTTCAGAGGTAAGCAATGAAGTTTTCACAAGAGTAATATCGGAAACATCTACAATATGAGTGAAATGTATATTATATTCAATGGGAAACCATAACAGTTTCTGTTTATTACTTTTCTGGAAACATTAGATTACCTTTGATCAGTATTTTATGGATTGGTTTGAATCACAATCGGATTGTTTGTTAAGGCCCCTTAACACAAGGTCATTTTGGGCTTGAAGCATCAAAACGCTTTTGGCTGAATCTATGTAATGTCTGGAGATCTGCATATTTCACTGGTAAAAAGTAATAAAGAGATTTATGGCATCATTCTTATAAATCCAAATACCTCCTGCCGCTGTAGTATATTTACTTGTCCTTGTTTGGAAAGACATTTTCAGATAGGAAAAGCTATGCATAAAGGATAGCTAACATTTTACAAAACATGTTTGTAATATTTTGTAGGACATTTCTGTACATGCAGTGATATTTGTGGATAAGGTGTTACGTTTTGGTGTGTTTTGTTTTAGGTCGGCGAGTGTTGACCTGAGCCAGTTATCAGACCAGCTTTCTCAACAACAGTTTTACTCCATAGGTAAGCTCTCTCTCACGCCAATGATATGTATAGGTAAGCTTTCTCTCACACCAATGATATGTATAGGTAAGCTCTCTCTCACACCAATGTGTGTATAGGTAAGCTCTCTCACACCAATGATATGTATAGGTAAGCTCTCTCAAACCAATGATATGTATAGGTAAGCTCTCTCACACCAATGATATGGATAGGTAAGCTCTCTCACACCAATGATATGTATAGGTAAGCTCTCTCTCACACCAATGATATGTATAGGTAAGCTCTCTCACACCAATGATATGTATAGGTAAGCTCTCTCACACCCCAATGATATGTATAGGTAAGCTCTCTCACACCAATGATATGTATAGGTAAGCTCTCTCTCACACCAATGATATGTATAGGTAAGCTCTCTCTCACACCAATGATATGTATAGGTAAGCTCTCTCTCACACCAATGATATGTATAGGTAAGCTCTCTCTCACACCAATGATATGTATAGGTAAGCTCTCTCTCACACCAATGATATGTATAGGTAAGCTCTCTCTCACACCAATGATATGTATAGGTAAGCTCTCTCTCACACCAATGATATGTATAGGTAAGCTCTCTCTCACACCAATGATATGTATAGGTAAGCTCTCTCTCACACCAATGATATGTATAGGTAAGCTCTCTCTCACACCAATGATATGTATAGGTAAGCTCTCTCTCACACCAATGATATGTATAGGTAAGCTCTCTCTCACACCAATGATATGTATAGGTAAGCTCTCTCTCACACCAATGATATGTATAGGTAAGCTCTCTCTCACACCAATGATATGTATAGGTAAGCTCTCTCTCACACCAATGATATGTATAGGTAAGCTCTCTCACACACCAATGATATGTATAGGTAAGCTCTCTCTCACACCAATGATATGTATAGGTAAGCTCTCTCTCACACCAAGGATATGTATAGGTAAGCTCTCTCTCACACCAAGGATATGTATAGGTAAGCTCTCTCTCACACCAAGGATATGTATAGGTAAGCTCTCTCTCACACCAAGGATATGTATAGGTAAGCTCTCTCTCACACCAAGGATATGTATAGGTAAGCTCTCTCTCACACCAAGGATATGTATAGGTAAGCTCTCTCTCACACCAAGGATATGTATAGGTAAGCTCTCTCTCACACCAATGATATGTATAGGTAAGCTCTCTCTCACACCAAGGATATGTATAGGTAAGCTCTCTCTCACACCAAGGATATGTATAGGTAAGCTCTCTCTCACACCAAGGATATGTATAGGTAAGCTCTCTCTCACACCAAGGATATGTATAGGTAAGCTCTCTCTCACACCAAGGATATGTATAGGTAAGCTCTCTCTCACACCAAGGATATGTATAGGTAAGCTCTCTCTCACACCAAGGATATGTATAGGTAAGCTCTCTCTCACACCAAGGATATGTATAGGTAAGCTCTCTCTCACACCAAGGATATGTATAGGTAAGCTCTCTCTCACACCAAGGATATGTATAGGTAAGCTCTCTCTCACACCAAGGATATGTATAGGTAAGCTCTCTCTCACACCAAGGATATGTATAGGTAAGCTCTCTCTCACACCAAGGATATGTATAGGTAAGCTCTCTCTCACACCAAGGATATGTATAGGTAAGCTCTCTCTCACACCAGGGATATGTATAGGTAAGCTCTCTCTCACACAAGGATATGTATAGGTAAGCTCTCTCTCACACCAATGATATGTATAGGTAAGCTCTCTCTCACACCAAGGATATGTATAGGTAAGCTCTCTCTCACACCAAGGATATGTATAGGTAAGCTCTCTCTCACACAAGGATATGTATAGGTAAGCTCTCTCTCACACCAATGATATGTATAGGTAAGCTCTCTCACACCAAGGATATGTATAGGTAAGCTCTCACACCAAGGATATGTATAGGTTAGCTCTCTCACACCAAGGATATGTATAGGTAAGCTCTCTCACATCAAGGATATGTATAGGTAAGCTCTCTCTCACACAAGGATATGTATAGGTAAGCTCTCTCACACCAAGGATATGTATATGTAAGCTCTCACACCAAGGATATGTATATGTAAGCTCTCTCTCACACCAATGATATGTATGGGTAAGCTCTCTCACACCAAGGATATGTATAGGTTAGCTCTCACACCAAGGATATGTATAGGTAAGCTCTCACACCAAGGATATGGAGCTGTTGTGCTATTGGCCACCAAACCTACACATTTGTTTATTGGCATTTACCAGGCAGTTATCACAAAATGTTTCATTTATAATTGGACATGCTTGTCATTCAAATAATACAAAAAGACCAGTAGCTGTCTGTGGGCCTGTTAACTATGCCATAAGCAAGCTAATTATTCAAATATGTCAATTTTAAACAAGAATATTTAAACCCTATCGTCAGAAGAACACTCGCATAATAAGTAAACATTTTTTCTAACAATCTACAGTATGTTCCAAAAGCATCCTAAAAAGGAAGAAGATGATATTGACATTCACATTATGTTAGGACCATTCCTACTCCAAACTTTACACTGTCAGGGTCCCTAATTGATGACATTTGTTAGTACTTGGTTGTATTTAAGTTTAAGTGCACTGATAGCATTATATTCAAACCTGATGAGCTGAGATAATATGTTGTGGTGTTATTAATAATCGTTAAGTATAATATATCCTGTACTACCATGGTACATGTGAACTTAGCATGTCAGGTTTAGTAACATTCTAAAGAAGTCCGTCAGAACTGATTGCCAGGATGTAAATCTTGCACAACACTGATACATGTAATAATAAGAAGTCTTAACGCTATAAGGTGGGGACCCAGTTTATATATAATAAATTCAGGTGAGGAATCATACATTGAACATTAAACTTCCACAGAATACAAGATTCAGGTGAGGAATCGTACATTGAACATTAAACTTCCACAGAATACAAGAGCTATATTCTGCTGGTTAGTTGTGATAGAAGAAAACGTCTTTCTAAGAGCAATTTTGAAGGTCGTTTTTAAACTCAATATTGACTGATTTCCTTATAGAACAAGCAATGAAGATTCTGAACCAGCCCAATGCAGAAGGAACGACCCCTGTACTGGACCCCGTGTCACTTCTGAGGATGGAGGGGTCAGAGAGTTCACAATCTGACCCCGGTACATCAGAGGTAAGTGTATACTATTGGGCATCATTGTCTTCATTCTGTTTCAAACAACTTATTTACCAGGGTTTGAATGCAACAGAAACCTCGCTTAAATGTTTGAATAACTAAATAATGTAATCTAGGACAAGTAGCAAACAGCTTTCATGATAATTCTAAACAACACAAAATAGATTGGAACCAGTTTCAACATCAATCATTTGATTGAAGATGTACATGTCCAGAATTATAATTCCTTAACAATGAATAAAAACATTAGCAACCTAATCTACTTGTTAAGAACGTTACTGAAGATGTCAACAACCTTACACTAGTATTAAAGATCTTACACAAGATGTCTTTGTTCTCACTTGAGATGTAAACAATCAATGAATCATACACGAGATGTAAATAGAGAATAAAACATGCCTTTTTCCATATCACACCCAGTATCAACCCGAGACTGCAATATTGGCCCTGATGGCTGATATTGGTCGAGGGTTTATACTGGGTGTGATATTGAAAAAGGCATGTTTTATTCTGTTTATTACATACTTACTAATAAAAGCTACTATCTTATGATCTATTTTTCTTTTGAAATATTGAAAAACGAAAAAATTCCAAAAGGGATATGGGTAAGAGCAATTGTGTTGTATCGCATATACAAAAAACCTGTAGTTATTAGTAAGTATGTAATAAATAATGTAAGGTATTATGATAAACTGTACACAGAGCCAGTCATCCCTGACAGCAGACAACACCGAAGTGGACACGACCACCAGCATGCCTTCCTCTCAGAGCTCAGTCGAAGGGTCCCAGCCAGAGCTGGAACACCTCGCTCATGGTCTGAACTTCCAGGGGGAGCTTGACCCTCAGACTGGAATATTCTACACTGTAGCGGCCACATCGGGGTCCGACACAGTGGTGGTGTCGACGCCAAGTCTAGACCGAGCACAACTTGACGCCGCCACCCCAGGAACAAAAACTTATGATCTTCTCAGTAGCTCACTGGCCCAGGCCCAGATTGACCTCGACCCCTTCCAGTTCATAGAAGAGGATGTTCTCGTGGAGAAAGCAGACGGTCAGTCTAGAGAAGATGTCCAGACTGATGGTCAAACATCAGGTAAGTTTGGGGTTGTCATGTGTATTGTAAATATGGGTAAAACTTCATGGCCAATAGGACTGATAAAGGTAACATTACATATTGTAGTGTTTAAAAGGAATTACTGTAGATTCCCAAATACTGGTAGCAATACAAAATGTCTTATATTTTGTCTGGAAACTAAATTGACCGATAATTAGTTAATGAATAGAAAAGTACAGACATTTGTGTATATAATAGGCATTAATAAAAAGCAGCACTTTTGTCAAAAGAACAATTGAGGTCAAAACCATTCCATGATTGACTTGTAGATCGTTGCATGGGTAGATAGTGCAGAGAGTGCATTCCCAAAATCAGACCGGTCTCATTGTAAGCACTTGTATGTCAGGGGTTGTTTCTATAGGGGTTGTTTGGATATAATGGTTGCATACGTGTACAGTAAGGCGATACATGCTCATTTAATGTCATATGGGTTATTAAAGTACTTCGGGGGGAACAGGAGTTGAGAGCCAATATTTGATCTCAGGAAGACCTTTGGCCGGAAGGTGCTAAGAAGGGCTGATGAGAGCAGTCCATGTGATAAATGTTGTGACTGGTCCCTTTAATCCAATAATGTAGTATGTGTGTTGTTGTTAAAAGGACTAGCTTAATTTGAGGGAGGGGTCTGATCCAGGATAGGCTTGTATTGTCTCAGCCATAATGTATAAGAAGGAAGAAATCTTTAAGTCAACAATTTGCTGCTTGGTGTGTTTTGTAACACTCCTTATAAAAAGTACCATGCCAAACGTATAGTGGAGTATTATTTTCCATGCAGATACAGAGACAACACCTACAATGCCATCAGAGGTTACCCTAGGGGACGAGCCGAGTGGAGGACCAATCATCCGTATCAAATCCAGCAGCTTCATCCCCATACAGGAGCTCAACAAGTCGCGGCAGAATGCCACCATCAACATTACTAGGCATCAGGTACATCATTTACATTCAAGCTTGTATAAAAATCCTATTCCCATGTTTCAGACTACTTACGTAATGTCTTTCAGCAAAGTGATCAACACCCACCCACTCTAACATATTTCATAAAGTGATCAACACCCACCCACTCTTAACATATTTCATAAAGTGATCAACACCCACCCACTCAATAACATATTTCATAAAGTGATCAACACCCGACCACACAATAACATATTTCATAAAGTGATCAACACCCACCCACACAATAACATATTTCATAAAGTGACCAACACCCACCCACACAATAACATATTTCATAAAGTGATCAACACCCGACCACACAATAACATATTTCATATAGTGATCAACACCCACCCACACAATAACATATTTCATAATGCGATCAACACCCACCCACACAATAACATATTTCGTAATGTGATCAACACCCAACCACACAGGTCCAATCTGGTCAGACATATTCTCATCCTATGAATATTGTATTTTATTCTGATCTGAACGCAGTTTTTCTATTTTCCTTAATTTATGGATTACCAGAATAAACTGAGAAATCCATGACCTTTGTAACTGACTTTACCTTTGTGTGATCAGCCGCTGGCCCAGGGAGTGCCAGAGCTGGTCCTACCCCAGGACGGTGAGTATGCTGAAGGAGTGGAAGTGATGGGACAGGAAGGAACACTGGACGATTTAGAGTCACACCTGGGAAGCAGTCTGTCGGACAGTATGTCCAGCGGAGTGTCCAGTGCTGTCACTGTGGAGACCGCTCAGATGGTGGACCCAGCAGATGTACGGGCCGAAATGTCGAGTCTGGACGACCTGGGTGTGGTCACTAGTCCCTCAATGGGGACAGGAAACAGTTCTGACAGCCAAGAGGTGGCGGGACTTGACCTCATGGCCTCATTGAGAATGAGTAAACGTAAGAGAAAGGCACCGTCAAACATTGATGAGACTCCTGCCCAAAACCAAGGTTCCTGGATCAGGTCGTGTATAGGGTAAGTCACTCTTTAAGTATCATTGTGGAATATTTGAGAACAAAAATACAGGTTTTCATGTTTTGTACTTGTCCACCATTGAATGATATACAACATAATGTTCAAATATCAGCCCAAGAATCATGAAATTCCATCCTCTTAACTGTCAGAATGTACTTTACTTGAAAATTCTGAAGAGTTAAACATTTCTTAATGCATTTCTGTCATCAATCCAGTGTTTCAAGTCAAAGTTGATTTACAGTCATAAATTCATAGCTATATAATGCTATTTCTAATAATGTTGAGGGAAATTAAAAACTTTCGGTTAATCTGATTTTGAGAATTGAGAGTGTTCTTGTATTTCCAGGCACAAAAAAAGGTTGTTAAATTCAAACAATTTTGAGGTTTTCAAAACTGTTGAAATTCGTAAATGATATCTACAATTGGATACAATGAAAAAACATCATTTGAAGACACAATGATACTAAATGAACAGATATTCTTTTCAAAATTTGAGGTGATCAGCTGTCAAAAGGGCGTTTAGAACTTGTACATATATTGTTATTGTTCGGACGGTTAGTAAGTAGGGTTTTCATGTGCAGTTTCCTTGATGACTTGTAGGTTGATTCAGAGGGTGTCCAGATACCGAGGACTGAACCGAGAGAAGGGAGATCTAAACGCAGCATCATGGTTCACAGAGCCAGGTAGACCAAACCAAATTTCATAGTCACATTAGTGGTATAATTCCCTGTAAATCCTTGTATTTTGGTTACAGTGGTCTAATTCCCTGTAAATCCCTGTATTTTGGTAACAGTGGTCTAATTCCCTGTATTTTGATTACAGTGGTTTAATTCACTGAAATCTTTGTATTTTGGTTAAAGTGGTCTAATTCCCTGTAAATCCTTGTATTTTGATTACAGTGGTCTAATTCCCTGTAAATCCTTGTATTTTGGTTACATTGGTCTAAATCCCTGTATTTTGATTTCAGTGGTCTAATTCCCTGAAATCCTTGTATTTTGGTTACAGTGGTCTTATTCCCTGTAAATCCTTGTATTTTGGTTACAGTGGTCTAATTCCCTGAAATCCCTGTATTTTGGTTACAGTGGTCTAATTCCCTGTAAATCCTTGAATTTGGTTACAGTGGTCTAATTCCCTGAAATCCCTGTATTTTGGTTACAGTGGTCTAATTCCCTGTAAATCCTTGTTTTTTGGTTACAGTGGTCTAAATCCTTGTATTTTGGTTACAGTGGTCTAATTCCTTGTAAATCCTTGTATTTTGGTTACAGTGGTCTAATTCCCTGTATTTTGGTTACAGTGGTCTTATTCCCTGTAAATCCTTGTATTTTGGATACAGTGGTCTAATTCCCTGTAAATCCTTGAATTTGGTTACAGTGGTCTAATTCCCTGTAAATCCTTGTTTTTTGGTTAGAGTGGTCTAAATCCTTGTATTTTGGTTACAGTTGTCTAAATCCCTGTATTTTGGTTACAGCGGTCTAATTCCCTGTATTTTGGTTACAGTGGTCTAATTCCTTGTAAATCCCTGTATTTTGGTTACAGTGGTCTAATTCCCTGAAATCCTTGTATTTGGTTACAGTGGTCTAATTCCTTGTAAATCCTTGTATTTTGGTTACAGTGGTCTAATTCCTTGTAAATCCTTGGATTTTGGTTACAGTGGTCTAATTCCCTGTATTCTGGTTACAGTGGTCTTATTCCCTGTAAATTCTTGTATTTTGGTTCCAGTGGTCTAATCCCCTGTAAATCCTTGCATTTTGGTTACAGTGGTCTAATCCCCTGTCAATCCTTGTATTTTGGTTACAGTGGTCTAAATCCTTGTATTTTGGTTACAGTTGTCTAAATCCCTGTATTTTGGTTACAGCGGTCTTATTCACTGAAATCCTTGTATTTGGTTACAGTGGTCTAATTCCCTGTATTTTGGTTACAGTGGTCTTATTCCCTGTAAATCCTTGTATTTTGGTTACAGTGGTCTAATCCCCTGTAAATCCTTGTATTTTGGTTACAGTGGTCTAATTCCCTGTTTGTTTTGTCCTGTTTACAGTCGATCGCAGTGAAGTCCCTGACTATTACACTATTATTAAAAGCCCGATGGACTTTGGGACGATACGGAAGAAATTAGAGGTTTGTATTAAGTAGGCTAATATGACATTTTCTAGTTTGGAATTAAAATTAATTAATTACAGAATATTGACATTTGTGCATTACGTAGGAATCTAAATTTGATGTCCATTTCCAAAAGAAGTAGTAGGTACTGAGGACTCCTCAGTTTACATGTATATCCTCAGTTTACATGTATATCCTCAGTTACAATTTTGAGGAAAGTATCAGTATAGGATGTGCTCTAAAGTCGACCAAAAAGAATTGACATTGTCAACAAAATGGCCGCCATGAATTTTTGAAATTTTTGGGAATTTAAAATTTCTAAAGGTGTTTGCTAAAGATAGCCAATGTCACGTCACCTATCCTATTTAACATGTTTTATGTTTTCCAATGCAATCCAAATTTGGCATGTAGGTGTTTGATGGTACCGCGAACTCAACCATGACATCCGTTTTCTAATTAGACAAAATGGCTGCCTTATACTGATGACTGATTGGTCAAACTTGGGGTATAAATAGGGGACTGCAAATTCAATCAAATAGATTACATTGCCATATCAACCGCACTGGCTTCGGATTGGTGGAAATTTAAATAGTGTTCAATTTTGATGACAATCGATATATAGGGGTATTAAAGGACTGCAAATTCAATAGGATACCTTGGTTGCCATAGCAACCACACAGAGGCTTCTAATTGGTCGCAATATAGAAAGTGTTCGATTTCACTCAAATTTAGTATGTAGGTGTATAAAAAGCATTGCGATCATTTTCTAATGCATCTTTGGAACTATGGGGTATATATTGTTTGTTTTTTATGAAAATTGATATATAGGGGTATTAGGGGACTGCAAATTCAACTGCTTAGGTTTTGTTGCCATACCAACAACATGGAGGCTTCAGATTGGTTGAAATTCAAATATTGTTCGATTTCACGTAAATATAGTATGAAGGTGTTTTATGCCATAGTGATCCTTTTCTGATGTATCTTTGCAATTATTGGGGCAGTTTGGAGGACTTCTGTAATGGTCCGCCATTACAATTAGTACTTGTTCTTGATTAACTTTCATTTAAATGAACGTATGTAACTTGTATGGAGTAGTGCTTATGTACTGATATTTTCTTACAGGCCAGTACATATCTAGACCAGGAGGATTTCCACACCGACATGCTTCTGGTGAGAGACAACTGTCGTACTTACAACCCTCCAGGGAGCACAGTCCGCGGAGACTGTGACGAGGTCTTTGCCTTTTACATGTCAGAATATGAAAAACTCCTGGACAGATGGCAAAAGGTACAAATATCTAATGTTGTATAATCACTTGGTTCTCACTTTATCTTTAATGATGATGAAATGAAAGGTTTCTCCTATATCAGTGTCAGATTAATAACGGCTATCACTCCAGTGTAATTGAAGCCTGAGGGTAAGAATTTTGAAGTAAGTCAGCAATTTTAAAAGACAACATACGGGAGAAAAGAGTTTATAATTATGTAGATGTGGAGGATAGAAATTCCATGGTTGAGTGGAAAATTTTAGGGTAGAATTACGTTAAACAGAGACAGTGATGCGGAAAATCTCCTTTATTTCCAGGCTCAGGTCTCCTCACCGTCTCCAAAGAAATCTCGTCTAGACAAGAGTCCTGTCAGGCCATGATCAACAGGATGTAAGCTGTGAGGACCACTGTAACTGATGTCAGGCCATGATCAACAGGATGTAAGCTGTGAGGACCGCTGTAAATGATGTCAGTCCAGTCAGGCCATGATCAACAGGATGTAAGCTGTGATGACCGCTGTAACTGATGTCAGTCGGGTGTGGTTGATAACCCAGTGTTCAGTCAGGACCACTGTAACTGATATCAGTCCTGTGTGGGGTTGATAACCCAGCGTCCAGTCAGTACCACTGTAACTAATGTCAGTCCTGTGTGGGGTTGATAACCCAGCGTCCAGTCAGGATCACTGACTGATATCAGTCCTGTGGGGTTGATAACCCAGCGTCCAGTCAGGATCACTAACTAATGTCAGTCCTGTGTGGGGTTGATAACCCAGCGTCCAGTCAGTACCACTAACTGATGTCAGTCCGGTGTGGACGTGATAACCCAGTCTAGCTGTCAGGACCACTGTAACTGATGTCAGTCCTGTGTGGGGTTGATAACCCAGTGTTCAGTCAGTACCACTGTAACTGATATCAGTCCTGTGTGGGGTTGATAACCCAGCGTCCAGTCAGTACCACTGTAATTGATGTCAGTCGGGTGTGGTTGATAACCCAGAGTTCAGTCAGTACCACTGTAACTGATATCGGTCCGGTGTGGGGTTGATAACCCAGCGTCCAGTCAGTACCACTGTAATTGATGTCAGTCCGGTGTGGGGTTGATAACCCAGTCTAGCTGTCAGGACCACTGTAACTGATGTCAGTCCTGTGTGGGGTTGATAACCCAGCGTCCAGTCAGTACCACTGTAACTGATGTCAGTCGGGTGTGGTTGATAACCCAGAGTTCAGTCAGTACCACTGTAACTGATATCGGTCCGGTGTGGGGTTGATAACCCAGCGTCCAGTCAGTACCACTGTAATTGATGTCAGTCCGGTGTGGGGTTGATAACCCAGTCTAGCTGTCAGGACCACTGTAACTGATGTCAGTCCTGTGTGGGGTTGATAACCCAGCGTCCAGTCAGGACCACTGTAACTGATGTCAGTCCGGTGTGGGGTTGATAACCCAGCGTCCTGTCAGGATCACTGTAACTGATGTCAGTCCTGTTTGGGGTTGATAACCCAGCGTCCAGTCAGGATCACTGACTGATATCAGTCCTGTGTGGTTGATAACCCAGCGTCCAGTCAGGATCACTAACTAATGTCAGTCCTGTGTGGGGTTGATAACCCAGCGTCCAGTCAGTACCACTAACTGATGTCAGTCCGGTGTGGACGTGATAACCCAGTCTAGCTGTCAGGACCACTGTAACTGATGTCAGTCCTGTGTGGGGTTGATAACCCAGTGTTCAGTCAGTACCACTGTAACTGATATCAGTCCTGTGTGGGGTTGATAACCCAGCGTCCAGTCAGTACCACTGTAATTGATGTCAGTCGGGTGTGGTTGATAACCCAGAGTTCAGTCAGTACCACTGTAACTGATATCGGTCCGGTGTGGGGTTGATAACCCAGCGTCCAGTCAGTACCACTGTAATTGATGTCAGTCCGGTGTGGGGTTGATAACCCAGTCTAGCTGTCAGGACCACTGTAACTTATGTCAGTCATGTGTGGTTGATAACCCAGTGTTCAGTCAGGACCACTGTAATTGATGTCAGTCCGGTGTGGGGTTGATAACCCAGTCTAGCTGTCAGGACCACTGTAACTTATGTCAGTCATGTGTGGTTGATAACCCAGTGTTCCAGTCACCAACAGAGAGCTGACAGTTTCTATACCTGTGATAGAGAAGCGATCTGCCAAATTCACTTGACAATGCTCTCTGAGTGAGGAGTTCCTGTGATAATAGAAGTGCATCACTTCTGACCGTGCCAAAGTCACAGAACTTAACACAGTAAGGAAACACATTCTTTCTATTGGTCAGAAAGAGAAGTTTAGTATCTCCCGCAAGCTGTTGTGTCACCTGAAGCACAAATAAGGGATCGAGCAGTGAGGTTGTAATTGATTGGAAAGGAAGAAGTGCTTGTTCCATGTACACCCACCCCAGTCTTACCAAGCGTCTAAGCAGGATGTTTGGAGTATATAAGGACTATGTTCCTTATACCGGAGCAGGAGTGTTTGGTGTAACTGTGGCACTTCTGTTCATTCACTTATGGTTCTCCCTTTCCATTGATTCACATAAGAGTCCTGGTCAATTCAGATTGTTCCTTCCAAACTCTGAATCAAGTATGTCACAGGTGCAGCCACTGATAACAGTGACAACAAGCAACAGCTGATGTCGTGTAAGAACATTCGCTGAGGAATGTCTTGTTCTCCGTGTGAAAATGTCATGTAGATAAAAGTGCTATATATAGGAAACATGAAGTGAAACGTTGAATTGTGCGCTGCCAACTTGTTACATAGTCCGTACTGAGGAAGTATTGAAGTTTCTTACTTACAAAATATTGAAGTGTTACATAGTCCGTACTGAGGAAGTATTGAAGTTTCTTACTTACAAAATATTGAAGTGTTACATAGTCCGTACTGAGGAAGTATTGAAGTTTCTTACTTACAAAATATTGAAGTGTTACATAGTCCGTACTGAGGAAGTATTGAAGTTTCTTACTTACAAAATATTGAAGTGTTACATAGTCCGTACTGAGGAAGTATTGAAGTTTCTTACTTACAAAATATTGAAGTGTTACATAGTCCGTACTGAGGAAGTATTGAAGTTTCTTACTTACAAAATATTGAAGTGTTACATAGTCCGTACTGAGGAAGTATTGAAGTTTCTTACTTACAAAATATTGAAGTATGAAATCATTTCAGTATTAGTACTTAGGGAGTATTATGTGGATTCTGCTATATCAGACCTCAGAATTCTGAGGTGGTTGGCTAAATGGTATATGGATTATTTTAGGCCAAATTACAGCTCTACAAACATGTATTTTAAATGAAATTTAAACAGTTTTATTCAAATTGAAGAAAAAAAACTCTATGGGGAAAAAGAGAAAGATTTTACTGTTGGTATACCATGAAGTATATCTTCTTGAAGGTAAGAATATGAAGTTCAACACGGGGAATGCTGGATGTTTGATCTTGGGGGATCTTTCCTTATATGTCTTCTGTTTGGAAAAATTGGTGGGCAAGTGACCTAAGGCCTGAGCAAAACATTTACCTTATACCTATACGCACAGTAAGATCTGGACATTTTCACATTAGCAATGGTGCTGGAACTTTGTATTTCTTTGTGTCCTGGGTTCGTGCTTAGGTTTGTGCTGATGAAGTAAAATCAGAATTTACCAACTTTTCCCAAGCACATAATAGGTCACTTTTATCAGGAAGGTTCATACACATGTATGTTCTATCGCTTTCTCTATGAAAATGTTTCATTTTATATGTAAAGTAAAAGGGTGTGTGCAATACTTTATTTTATCCTTTGACATCTTTTTCTGTACAGTTTATTTTTCCGTATTATGTTTGTAATTTTACAGAGATAAATTTTCTTGAGTTATTAAGGCTAATTGTGAAAAAGGTCATTATGAGAGTATGTCCAAATATATACATATGTATGTATATTTCATGTATATATATATAGATGTATACAGTGGAACCTGCTTATTATTATATTCCATTTGCCAGAGAATTTTTTATAATGACCGGTATATTATAAAAAATACATCAAGCCATTGTACACAGTTAATGTATAAAGTTTACATGGACTTTCTCCTGTAGCTTCACTAATTAAACAGAACAGATATTCTGTATCCCACTACATGATTGTATGAGGCAACTAGTGCAGGGCCCCTTACAAAATTGTTGATGTTTTCATCTATCAGTACACACATTTACAAGCTACCAACATTGATCTGAAGCAACCCCCCATATATCTTTTCAATACTCTCTCATGATCAACTTCTCTTTCAATATATAAGACTCTTTAATGTCCAGGTGTGTAAGAAACAGAAATTCCATCCTCTGAATGTTCAAATTGGGTAAAACCCAAGGCTCTGCTGAGGGGTAAAACCCATGGCTCTGTTGAGGGGTAAAACCCAAGGCTCTGCTGAGGGTTTTGCACCAATTTGAAAATCCAGAGGGTGGAATTTCCCTATCCTACATCCCTGGGCATGACATAAATATTTTTCTCCCATTCCAATCATTAAAACCTGACATCATCCAGTGGAGGACAAATTAGGATTTTACATTTTATTGCTTAAATGTTTTAATTTCGTGTACCATGGTAGTAGTAGGAATCAAAACCTTAATCTTCCAAACACTAACAAAATGTAGGTACATAAATAGTAAACGGTGAAACTGAAAGTTGATGACATTGTTAGATGAATGGGATACATGTGTCATTGTAAATAATAATGTAGATATCTTTTATGCAATATAAACCTGCATTTGTCCCCAATTCAAAGAAATGGTTATTGATAATTCACTGTTACCATTATTTAAAGAAGTTTTGTATGCTTTGTTAATCTGTTATTGAATGTCATTCAAGGCAAGTTGTGTAAACCTTGGTCATAAAATGTCATAAATGAAATTTTGTGTTAACCTCAGTCAAAAAATGTCGTTATACGTGGAGTGTCATGTTAACCTCAGTCATTGAATGTTGTTATACGTGGAGTGTCATGTTAGCCTCAGTCAAAAAATGTCGTTATACATGGAGTGTCATGTTAACCTCAGTCGTTGAATGTCGTTATACATGGAGTGTCATGTTAACCTCAGTCATTGAATGTCATTATACTGGGAGTGTCATGTTAACCTCAGTCATTGAATGTCGTTATACATGGAGTGTCATGTTAACCTCAGTCAAAAAATGTCGTTATACGTGGAGTCTCATGTTAACCTCAGTCATTGAATGTTGTTATACGTGGAGTGTCATGTTAACCTCAGTCAAAAAATGTCGTTATACATGGAGTGTCATGTTAACCTCAGTCATTGAATGTCATTATACGTGGAGTGTCATGTTAACCTCAGTCGTTGAATGTTGTTATACATGGAGTGTCATGTTAACCTCAGTCATTGAATGTCGTTATACATAGAGTGTCATGTTAACCTCAGTCATTGAATGTCGTTATACGTGGAGTGTCATGTTAACCTCAGTCATTAAATGTCGTTATACATGGAGTGTCATGTTAATCTCAGTCATTGAATGTCGTTATACATGGAGTTTCATTTTAACACCTCAGTCATTGAATGTCGTTATACATGGAGTGTCATGTTAACCTCAGTCATTGAATGTCGTTATACATGTAGTTTCACTTTAACACCTCAGTCATTGAATGTCGTTATACTTGGAGTGTTATGTTAACTTCAGTCATAGAATGTTGTTATACATGGAGTGTCATGTTATCCTCAGTCATTGAATGTCGTTATACGTGGAGTGTAATGTTAACCTCAGTCATTGAATGTGGTTATACATGGAGTTTCATTTTAGCCTCAATCATTGAATGTCGTTATACATGCAGTGTCATGTTAACCTCAGTCGTTGAATGTTGTTATACATGGAGGGTCATGTTAACCTCAGTCATTAAATGTCGTTTTACAGGGAGTGTCATGTTAATCTCAGTAATTGAATGTCGTTATACATGGCCCCCCATGTTCATCTCAGTCATTGAATGTGGTTATACGTGGAGTGTCATGTTAACATCAGACATTAAATGTCGTTATACATGGGGTGTCATGTTAACCTCAGTCAAAAAACGTCGTTATACATGGAGTGTCATTTTAACCTCAGTCATTGAATGTGGTTATACATGGAGTTTCATTTTAACCTCAATCATTGAATGTAGTTATACATGGAGTGTCATGTTATCCTCAGTCATTGAATGTCGTTATACATGTAGTTTCACTTTAACACCTCAGTCATTGAATGTCGTTATACGAGGAGTGACATGTTAACCTCAGTCATTGAATGTCGTTATACATGGAGTGTCATGTTCATCTCAGTCATTGAATGTCGTTATACATGGAGTTTCATTTTAACCTCAATCATTGAATGTCGTTATACATGGAGTGTCATGTTAACCTCAATCATTGAATGTTATTATACATGGAGTGTCACGTTAACCTCAGTCATTGAATGTCGTTATACTTGGAGTGTTATGTTAACTTCAGTCATAGAATGTTGTTATACATGGAGTGTCATGTTAATCTCAGTCATTGAATGTCGTTATACGTGGAGTGTCATGTTAACCTCAATCATTGAATGTTAACCTCAGTCATTGAATGTCGTTTTACATGGAGTGTCATGTTAACCTCAATCATTGAATGTCGTTATACATGGAGTGTCATGTTAATCTCAGTCATTGAATGTCGTTATACGTGGAGTGTCATGTTAACCTCAATCATTGAATTTCGTTATACATGGAGTGTCATGTTAACCTCGATCATTGAATGTCGTTATACATGGAGTGTCATGTTAACCTCAATCATTGAATGTCATTATACATGGCGTGATTTGTTGACCTTCATTTCTTGCAGAGGATTTCAAATTCATTTTATATACATATTGTCATACAAGAACGTCTTGCATGTAGTTAAATACATCTGATATTATCTGTTATTTTGTCAATGTGAAGCCATTTATCAGCCATATTCTTAATTTGTTAAGATTTTTATATGATATGCTGTTTCTGTGTTCATGATCTGTTTATCTTTCATCTCATTTATCAATTTAATATAAATTATGGAATCTCTCAGATAATTCCATTGCTACATTCTGAATAAAGTAACGATAACAAATAGTGATGTCTTCATTTTCATTTGCATAACTTGGCTTTTTAGTCGCCATCATTAGATAGTAGGCTATTCAAATCACCCTGCGTCTGTGTCCGTACGTCCGTCCTTAAACAATTCTTGTTAGCGCTGTTTAACAGAAAGTACTGGAGGGATCTATCTCAAATTTCACGTAAAGGTTCCCCATGATCCCTAGTTATGCATATCATTTTTTGGGACTGATCACAAAACCAAAATGGCTGACAGGCAGCCATCTCGTATTTGAGAATGAAAGTTTGATGGCGTTATTTCTCGGAATGTTCAGGAGGGGTCTTTCTCAAATCTCACATGAATGTGTCCAATTGTACCTAGTTCTGCATTTTGAACTTGGGGATGATTGGAAAACCAAGATAGCCGGCAGGTGGTTGTATTGGATTTGGGAGTAAAAGTTTGCCCTAAAAGTATTTGAGGAAGCTTTCTCAAATTGCACATGAAGGTGCCTCTTGTCCTTAGTTATGCATATCAAATCATATCGGCCGGCCATCTTGTTACAGTTTTAAGTTTGTTATCGCTATTTCTCAGAATTTATTGGAGGAACGTTTCTCAAATTTGATATGTAGGTTCCCCTTGGTCCCGAGTTATGCATGATAACTTTTGAAGTTGATCACAAGATTGATTAAGATGGCGGATAGGATCAAACTGATCGAACAGATCGGAGAAAAGAAGAGAAAAGATCAAACTAATGAAGATGGTACTATGGTGGGCGTCACAATTCCTCTGGGATCTCTTGTACAGGTTTTATGTTGCCTGCAAAATGGTAATATGTAGAGATTCATTGTTCATGGTCAGGGTACAGATTTCTTTAATGACAAAAAATTGAAAGAAATTGTTTTTCCTTCAACAGATGTCCTTGCACAAGTTTGATGCCCTAGCCAAATTCACAAATGTTTAACTGTTTCAAATCATGTTTCAGCCATGGTATTTCTGTTAACCAATTCTGAAGCTATTTCTCAGAAAAGACAGGACAGATCATTCTCAAACTTTGTAAATATATTACCCTTGGATCTAAGTTGTGCAAAATCAATTTGAAGAAAACATGGCCTCCATGGCCGCCATTTTGGATTTCAGTTATTACTATGTACCTGAAGTCTGAAACGATGTCTGGGTTGATGGTGGGTGGTTCACATCATAGTGCGGAGGAAGAGTATATAATCTAGGGTGATGTTTATGAGGGGTTTAATTTTAATTTCGTGTAATTTCAATCATTGTTTGTGTTGTTAGCTTTCCTTGCTTCCATATATATAATCATAGAGACTGAAAGCAAGTTGATTGCACTGTGTATGGGTTTGAATTTCATTAGACACCTTATTATGAAAATGGAAATTGGGTTAAAAGTTCACCTAGATTTATCCTGATGAGGTCATTGTGACCTATCTCTCAAAATTTTAGCACTTGAAAAAATGGCCATGGAGTTCAGAAAGTCACTAAGAATTGCTGTTTTACATGATATACAACATTTGATATAGCGCCCTATCTAGTTAACATAGGCCACTCTAAAGCGCTTTACAGTACACGGATATACAGTTAATACAATTAGCATATACATTATTCGATACAATTTTGAGGAATTCGCAGAAGCTGCCTTATCAGGTGCTAACTACTAGTCCTATGCCACCTGGCTAATATCTCTGTGTGTATGCCTGCGTGTGTGCTGGAGGTGTATTGTATTCTGTTTGTGTTGGGACCGTGCTTCCAACGGCATCATTTATAGTGCCACTTCACTTGAATGCTACAGCACAGATACCGCAACATCCACCCCAGACCAATTTATACTCCACCTGGGTTGTTGGGAGTTGTGTGGGCAAGATAAAAACACTTTTTGCTGAATATTCCATGTGTACGATGACCAGGGAATCGAACCCATGCCACCTGCATGGAAGGCCATATAATGTCCACCCATACAGGCACATAATTACATAATAAGGTCACTCTGACCTTCTGGTCAAAATTTGACATGGGGAATAAAAACACTTTTTGCTGAATATTCCATGTGTACGATGACCAGGGGATTGAACCCCAGCCACCTGCATGGAAGGCCATATAATGTCCACCCATACAGGCATATAATTACATAATAAGGTCACTCTGACCTTCTGGTCAAAATTTGACATAGGGAATTCAACATAGGGCTGTTGTTTGACCGTATTTGGTTACTGACCTACTTTTTGAGCTACACAGAAATGTGTCATTTGGTTCACAAATTAACATTGTACAGTGTTATGACCATGTAAGGTAACTGACCTATATTTGAAAATTAAATCACTCGGCTTCATCATAAACACAACACAATAGCAACAATATGGTATTGGTCCATCTCCTGTGCTTTATCATAAACACAACACAATAGCAAAAATATGGTATTTGTCCATCTCCTGTGCTTTATCATAAACACAACACAATAGCAACAATATGGTATTGGTCCATCTCCTGTGCTTTATCATAAAAACAACACAATAGCAAAAATATGGTATTGGTCCATCTCCTGTGATTCATCATAAAAACAACACAATAGCAACAATATGGTAAAGGTCAATCTCCTGTGCTTTATCATAAACACAACACAATAGCAACAATATGGTAAAGGTCCATCTCCTGTGCTTCATCATAAAACAACACAATAACAACAATATGGTAAAGGTCAATCTCCTGTGCTTTATCATAAACACAACACAATAGCAAAAATATGGTAAAGGTCAATCTCCTGTACTTTATCAGAAACACAACACAATAGCAACAAGATGGTAAAGGTCCATCTCCTGTGCCTTATCATAAACACATCACAATAGCAACAATATGGCAAAGGTCCATCTCCTGTGCCTTATCATAAACACAACACAATATGGAAAAGGTCAATCTCCTGTACTTTATCATAAACACAACACAATAGCAAAAATATGGAAAAGGTCAATCTCCTGTACTTTATCAGAAACACAACACAATAGCAACACTATGGTAAAGGTCCATCTCCTGTGCTTTATCATAAACACAACATAATAGTAACAATATGGTAAAGGTCCATCTCCTGTGCTTTATCATAAACACAACACAATAGCAACACTATGGGAAAGGTCCATCTCCTGTGCTTCATCATAAACACAACACAATAGCAAAAATATGGTAAAGGTCAATCTCCTTTGCTTTATCATAAACACAACACAAAATGGTAAAGGTCCATCTCCTGTTCTTTATCATAAACACAACATAATAGAAACAATATGGTAAAGGTCCATCTCCTGTTCTTTATCATAAACACAACACAAAATGGTAAAGGTCCATCTCCTGTTCTTTATCATAAACACAACACAACAGCATCAATATGGTAAAGGTCAACCTCCTGTGCTTTATCAGAAACACAACACAATAGCAACACTATGGTAAAGGTCCATCTCCTGTGCTTCATCATAAACACAACACAATAGCAACAATATGGTAAAGCTCCGTCTCCTGTGCTTTATCATAAACACAACACAAAATGGTAAAGGTCCATCTCCTGTGCTTCATCAAATATAGCCCAGAAATCTGTTTAAACGTATAACCCAGCAATCTGTGTAAACGTATAACCTAGAAATCTGTGTAAACGTATAACCCAGAAATCTGTGTAAACGTATAACCCAGAAATCTGTGTAAACATATAACCCAGAAATCTGTGTAAACGTATATCCTAGAAGCTATGTAAACGTATAACCCAGAAACCTGTGTAAATGTATAACCCAGAAATATATGTAAACGTATAACCCAGAAATCTGTGTAAACGTATAACCCAGAAATCTATGTAAACGTATAACCCAGAAACCTGTGTAAATGTATAACCCAGAAATATATGTAAACGTATAACCCAGAAATCTATTATAACCCAGAAATCTGTGTAAACGTATATCCTAGAAGCTATGTAAACGTATAACCCAGAAACCTATGTAAACGTACAACCTAGAAATCTGTGTAAACGTATAACCTAGAATCTGTGTAAACGTATTACCCAGAAACATGTGTAAACGTATTACCCAGAAACATGTGTAAACGTATTACCCAGAAACATGTGTAAACGTATTACCCAGAAACATGTGTAAACGTATAACCTAGAATCTGTGTAAACGTATTACCCAGAAACATGTGTAAACGTATTACCCAGAAACATGTGTAAACGTATTACCCAGAAACATGTGTAAACGTATAACCTAGAATCTATGTAAACGTATAACCTAGAATCTATGTAAACGTATAGCCCAGAAATCTATGTAAACGTATAAACCAGAAATATATGTAAACGTATAACCTAGAAGCTATGTAAACGTATAACCCAGAAATATATGTAAACGTATAACCCAGAAATCTATGTAAACGTACAACCTAGAAACCTATGTAAACGTATAACCCAGAAATCTATTATAACCCAGAAATCTGTGTAAACGTATATCCTAGAAGCTATGTAAACGTATAACCCAGAAACCTGTGTAAATGTATACCCCAGAAATATATGTAAACGTATAACCTAGAAGCTATGTAAACGTATAACCCAGATATATATGTAAACCCCAGAAATCTATGTAAACGTATAACCTAGAATCTATGTAAACATATTACCCAGAAATCTATGTAAACGTATAAACCCAGAAATCTATGTAAACGTATAACCCAGAAATATATGTAAACCCCAGAAATCTATGTAAACGTATAACCTAGAATCTGTGTAAACGTATTACCCAGAAACATGTGTAAACGTATTACCCAGAAACATGTGTAAACGTATTACCCAGAAACATGTGTAAACGTATTACCCAGAAACATGTGTAAACGTATAACCTAGAATCTATGTAAACATATTACCCAGAAATCTATGTAAACGTATAAACCAGAAATATATGTAAACGTATAACCTAGAATCTATGTAAACATATTACCCAGAAATCTATGTAAACGTATAACCCAGAAATATATTTAAACCCCAGAAATCTATGTA